TATGTATAATATATAAACGTATATATATATATATATATATATATACGTATAAAATAATTCTTACAAATAATTTTGTCAAAATTCAAAGTTGTATATATTATCGTGTAATCAATTATAGTCTATGATATTATTATTATTATTATTATTATTATCATTATTATTATTATTATACACCATCCGAGGATCACCGTATTGTTCGCGGCTAGAGAAATTTACGACTTACAATATTTTCTCTTGCGAATGCGAGAGCGCGTAAGTAGATACTAGCTTTTCTAATATAATATAATACATACGAGATAAATAAGATGGTCAAACGATATCAGAGGTAAACTATGTGCTTCTCGCGTTATAATATCATCTTCTCATTTGGTTTGGTGTCCCCGAGAAACACATTGAGAATCGTTTATCTTACGCGCGATCGCATCTCGCGAATATTATATTTATATAATATAATATACATATAATATATAAATATGCATATTAATTTTAATACCAATTAAATGAATAGAAGGAGGTGCTTCGATATATATGTATTATACGATTCGTTAGAAAAAACAAAAAAGAAATCAATAATAATTAATCATTGTATTATTATTTTAATTTTTCTCAACCGGAACAAATTGAGATTAACATTATCTGATATTCGATATTATCGATATTCTAATTTTAAACGATATATCATTAATGACGTTATTATAAAATTTTTCTTTTGTTTTTTAATATTAAAATAGCGTGTGTGTGTGACGATGAAAGAAAATGAAGAAGAAGAAGAAAATATTAGAAACGGATGTGCGTGTTTATGTTTATATATATATATATATATATGTGTGTGTGTGTGTGTATGTATGTGAATTAGCGTGCACGCGGCGTGTTTATGTAAGTATTTAAATGTAAATATATGAAATATATATATATAAATATAGCCGGACGTAGGAAAATAGTTTAAGATAAAATGAAAATACAATTAAAATAAGAGAAAAACAAGATAATGAAATAAAATTCAATTATAGAGAGAGAGAATACAAAAAAATAAAAAAGACAGGATCCATTATCGTCCATCGACATCGGTATTCCGTTTTATCGGCTGGCTTTTCTGACTCCTGTAACACCTGTAATAATTGTCTCGCTCTCTGGCGAAAATGATTATTAGTTTGATTATTAATAATAATAATAATAATTACAAGAAAAATAATATGCATATATATATATATATATATATATATATATACATATGTATATATGTATAGAAATAAATTTGGTTGGTTAGATGCTAGTTTTATTTTCGACGACGACACCCCGGCTCTGTCTCGTTCTTGTTTCCTGTTTTTGTTCTCTTTTTCTTACTTTTCTCTCTTTCTCTCTCTCTCTCATACACACATACACACTTTCTTTCTTTCTCTTACTCATTTACTAGCTCGTTCTCTCTATTGCTTTTTCTCTTCGTATTTATCTTTCTTTTCAATTCCAACTCCTTTTTAAACTCGGATTTAGTTTCTAGTAACTTTTAAAAGGCATTTTTATAAAACACTAAAAATTACGAAAATTAAATTTAAGAAGATGAAAACTAAAAAGAAAAATATTTGTTATACGTTTTACTATATATATATATATATATATATATATACAAGTAAATATATACAAGTAAATATATACGAAGAACAAAGAGAGTAGCGAATTATAGTGGACGGAGACGTCTCGTTAGTTCCGCACTTTTATAGAATAGGTACCTGAAAAACTATAATGAGAAGTAGAAGAAGAAGAAAAAGAAAAAATAATAAAAAAATGAAATACATATACAGCAGAAACATACATATATAATCATACGCTCGTTTTACACCATCTCTCGTGAATATCCAAGTGTACGGCATTTATTTTCCATATGTCCGTAGATTATCCTCGTTCGAATTCTCCTCTAGTATGTATGTGGTGTGGATGTGTGTGTGTGTGTGTGTGTGTATCGTATGTGTGTAATAATTTTTCTCTCCCATATGTCAACGTTAGACAAATTCTTTTTTCCCTTTTTTCTTTTTTTACGTATTGATGTATGTACGGGTGTTTGTATATTTGTGTGGCGTGTGCAGTGCTATTATTATGTGTGCGTAATAAAATTGAGTGCCGATAAATAATTCGTATACTATACAGAAGATATTTTTTTTTTACAAATATGTATAGAAATTTGTACGGATATGTGCCTATATACATATATGAAAATATAATATGTATATATTAATAATATTRTGCTCTCTCTATAAATATTTATATTATAATAATAATATAATGTTTGTGCGATAAAATGTAACATAAGTAACTGATCTGCCTTTTAGACGTAGAGAGAGAGGATCACGTGTCGTACACTTGACAAACATTCATGTATCATGGCATAGCAATTCCGAAGAGTGCATTTCGTTTTCACTTAATACGATTATTACGTATACGAAGATTTGAAATAACAATTAATATTAATCTATAAAAATGATAACAATCAATGAGATTTTTATATGATGAATACACGTTGAGATAATCCATGTAGAAATTCCAAAGATCCAAAGAGATTATTACTAAAGATAATCAAAATATTTCTATCTCCTTTTATAACATCGACAATAATTTATGCGCGAAGTTAATCAGTAACGACTCAAAATAAATACTTTGTTTTTGTTTTTTCGTCTTTTTAAAAAAAAGTTAAACGCGTAACGAGGCAGCCGCCTATAATTATCGATAATTATATTATTCATCGAGCACGAGTTCGATCATAGTAAATGAATAATTATTATGCGAATGGACAGGTATCAATTGATCTGATAACGCGTAACGAAATTTTTTTAGAAATTCTAGAAAAATTCGTATTATCTTTATTTTTTACTAATGTAATTTAAATAACAATTTTTTTCAAACTATCTCGATCAGAACGTAACATCTAATTGCAAGTAAAAAAAAAAAAAAAAGGAAAGAAATTACAAACCTTTGAAATTATTTATAACACAAAAGTCTAATGGAAAACTAAAAAAACGTAAGAAAAATTCGATTCGTTTTCTCTTTGGTTTAGAAAAACAAAAAGTTCTTTCTCCTGTTCCTTCTTCTCCTCTTTCTCTTCCATCTCCCCACACTTTCTCTACCTCTACCTCTTTTTTTGGTTTATTTTTTTTTTAACTCTTTCCTTCGAGTCCTTTTTTCTGTCTCGTTTAGAACACACGCCGAGGCAAATTCGAGTGGCGTTTATTCTCTCTCTATTTCTCTCTCTCTCTCTTTCTCTCTCTCTCTCTCTCTCACTCCGAATTTCCACCACGCTCGCCGCGATGCACCCTTGGGAAATTGAAAACCACTTTTAGAGAATGAGACTTCCCTGCCAACAAGCTGGTCTGCCGCAATCATCCATGTGAGACTTTTCTTCCCATTGTGTGTCCGGGGTGTGGCTGCAGCAGGTCGTCTTCCGCGTGACGTCGCTGAAAATATCTTTTTTCCATCTCTCTCGCACACATACACATACACACACACACAACACACACACACACACAGACACTCAAACATATATTCATTCGCATTAACTCCCTGGCACCATACTCTCATTTACTCGTTCTTTCGTTCTTACTACGTTCGCATATCCTTTTACTTTCTCTTACTAGCTGACACTCATACCTTTTTTATTTTTTTTACTCTCATACTCTCTCACACTCTTTTTTTTTTTGTTTCCCCGGACAACAGGACACTTTTGTCCCTCGAAGACGAGTCACGAATCGAAGTGGAATGTTGTGTAACGCCAAATCGAGAAGCGTTTTCTGCTGCCGTAGTAAGAAAATAAATTTATCGGCCAACGAGTAGTGTGGTGTTGCTGCCACCTTCTCCACCCTCATCCTTATCCTCATCCTTCTCCTCTTTCTCGTCACTCTTTTTTGTACTTTATTGTGAGCTTATTTCTTTTTTTTTTTTTTTTATTATGCCGTCTTCTTTATTTTTTCTCGGGGGTTTGGGGGGCATTTTTTATTTGTATTTTGTTATATACTATATATATATACTATTCTTTTTTTCTAATTTTATAGGCTCTTTGTCTATCCCTTTTTTTTATTTTTATATATATATATATAATATATATTTACCGATTTTATTTCTTTCGATCGAAATGAGATTGGACGCGAACGATATAACAACACTCGTATCTTTGATTTAAAGCTAGCTTCTTTCTCTTATGATCGATAGTCGATCTAATAAAAAGATCATTTTCGATACTGTCAATGAAATTGCAAGGTATACCAAGTAAAACAAAACGCGTCAATTCGAAAATTATTACGAATTATTTGATAAGATTGAAGAGTGAAGATTGTTTCGTCTTTGACCCACATTAATATCAGTATGCTGATAATACATAAATCACATTGAACTTTCTTTTCTTTCTTTTTCATATATATATATATATACGTATATATATATGTATAGAATAAATATTATATATACATATATATATATATATATATATATATATATATATATATATATATAGCGTATCTCATATGTTTTGTTTAGAGTATACGAAAAAATTATTTTATTTGTTACTTTTTGTTTTGACTTTTTATTTTTATTATTTTTTGTTTTCTTATTCTTTACTTTTTTATATTTCTGATAAATTTAGTCTTTTGTTTTCCTTTTCACGAGAACTCTCTGAGAGTGTAGTAGGCGTTTTTGTGTGGGGCAGCAAAACAGCAGCGAGGGGTTGATAGCCGGGGATTTCGTGCAGCACAGCTTGTCAGCAGGGTGGTGTACGCGTCATTCATAAGAGACACTTCTTTTTACTACGTCTTATATACAAGTACGAGAATACGTTTCTATTTCCGATCGATTTAAATCGACAATAGAAATATCCATTCGAAATATTTCATCGAATAAAATTAATACAAATTTTTTTTAAATATATATATGAAAATATAAAAAAATATGAAAAATTGTCTATAATTCGATAGGAAATATAACGGTCACGTTGGCGGCGAAGTATTTGTATTTATTATGACCTAGGTACCGATCAGGTGATTGGTGTATTGCAACTAGATCTTTGCACCTGGATAGCTGCGATAGGCTGCTAGAAAGAGAGAAATAGAACAGTGGTGTTTTGGTGATGTTAACAAGAATTTTGCCTCGTGTACTACTGACTACACACTACCAGAACGGCTTAACATCATACAGGATAATGTAAAATGGACGAACACAAAAGCGACAAACATATGAGGGGTGAGGGAGTCAGGGACTAAGAAGGAATGTTCAGATTGAAAGAGAAAAAAAGAAGAGATCATGAAATAAAGGGTAACAGAAGGTTAATGAAGTTCATTGGAAATTGGTAATGGGTTGTTGGATAAAAAGATCAAAATTAAATAATAGCAACGTGATGGATTTAAGTAAAGTTCATAGAATAAGTAAAATTCTTGTACGAGATATTCTGATACGTGAACACTAATATAAAATGTACGTATGTGATGGTCGTAGCGGGTCTGTGAGCCAAGAACTCGTTGCGTTTTATTCGTGTCTCGAGGGAAAGTCAAACTTTTTAGTTAGTTACTCGTTTTAAATTCAACAAGTCCGATAGATGTAAAGAAAGAAAGAAAGATAGATAGATAGATAGATAGATAGAGAGAGAGAGAGAGAGAGAGAAAGTTTAAAAGGACGCATTTGAACAGACCCGGTAAGGCTATCACGAAAGTTCGACCACTGCGCAACTATTGGCCAATTTTACCTCTGCTTTGATAATAATCTGTTTTCACGTGCGATAGTGCTATACATAATACGTTCTGCTGTATATACTTATATATATATACATATATATATGTATATATGGAGATCGAGATACGTGTGTAATAGCATAAGAGATAGATATAGATAGGTAGATAGATAGATAGATAGATAGAGACAGACAGACAGAAAGAGAAAGAGAGAGAGAGAATACGAAGGGTCTACTGCGGTATCAAGGGAGAAGCCCGATTGCTCGACGAAGATTGGCGAAAAGCAGCGCAGCAACGAAAGCTCCTTCGACGCAAACCCAGGAAACTTAGACAGAGAGAGGGTGAGTAGTATAGGTCGAAAGAACTAAGTAAGTAAGAAAAGGTATAGAAGAAGAAGAAGAAGAAGAAGAAGAAGAAAAAAAAAAGGAACAAAGATCTGAGAGAAAGAAAGAAGAGCGTTAGAGACAAAGATAGTGAAAGATAAATAGAAAATAAAATGGAAAGAGAAGAAAAGAAAAAAATAGAAATAGAAATAGATTAAGTTGAAAATAGAAAGAAGATAGAAAGTTGAAAGTGAAAGAAAAATATACAAGGAAGAAAAACAATAGTGAATGAAAATACGAGAAAGGTAAAAGATATTATACTTCGTTGGGACAGGTGAAATTGGACAACAAATGGAAAATGACAAATTATCGGATCTATGCGTATCCGGTATGGTTCGAATTGAACGATCGGATGGGGGATAAGGGTTGGTTAGAGATAGGTGGGTTGGTGGTGGATATGCGTGTACTTCGAGTCATTGTTCCGCGTACAAGAGACACACCCTTCCTGATGATGGGGCGTTCATAATAGTCTCGGATTGTGGACCATTAACAATCTCTGTCAATTTTTATCCAAAGATGTTTTGGCTAGAAATGATTGAAATAATTTTTCTATTTCTCGCTAAAAATTATACCAAAATTGTCGCAGAAAAAAAGCGAGAATTAACGTCATACATACACGATTAAATGTAATATATATATATATATATATATAAGAACATAAACGAACACTCTCGCGTTTAATACATCATGTGTTTTTTAAAGCTTTGCGCAAGACACGAGTAAGAAAAAAAAAATACATAAAAAAGAAAAGAGTTAAAGTAGACGACGTCGTAGCGGCAGAGATGCTCCGGGTGTTGCTACACGTCACCCGTGTTTTGTACATCGTTTCACATCGATCAATTTTTAGCGAAACGTACGGAGACAAGATTTGTACAGATAAAAAAAAAAAATAAAAAAAAAAAGGAACAAGAAATTAGAAGATATACAGTATACGTGAATAAGAAGTAATTACGACACATTCGCATGAAGCACACGCCACATGGAAACATCCGCAGAAAGGTTGAGGCTGGAAAGATAGAGAAAAAGAGAGAGAGAGAGAGAGAGAGAGAGAAATAAAGAGATAGATAGAGAAAGAGGTTGAAAGTGAAACAGAGATAGTATAAGAGAGAGAGATAGATGGAGGAGGAAAATTCCTCCGGCTCTTACCTCGACCCATTAACCTCGCACCTACGATTCTCCAATTTGTGATCGCATTGCGAGAACTACTAGGGTCAATTAATGGGTCGAGTTAGACGGAGATATTTTAGCGGTTAAACCCACTGAAAATATGTTAGGATCGTCAGTAACACATTCCACGTGTAATATACAATTTTAAAATGAAATTATTTTATTATTTCGATCAATTTCCAAAATTATTCAAATATATTTTTGAAACATTTATTTCTACGATTATCTTCAAATTGTTCTGATTTAATCGTCAAAAATATTTTTACGATAATCAACTATCTTCAAAGATGGACGATGTGTTAACGTGAACAACCAAGGACGGACACACTGACGATTTATTGGGAATCGATAAAAGGCAAGATTCGGAATTGACGTAGGTAGGTAAAGGGGGGTAGTAGAAAGGGAAGTTGATAAAAACAATGTTGGATGATAGAACAAAAGATGTTAGAGAGATAGAAAGAGAGAGAGATAAGGGATAAAGACAAAACTTAGAGTATAAGAAAAGATAAGAAAAAAGAACAGACCACAAAATTAAAGATAGAGAAAGATAGAAAAAGATAGAAAGAGAAAGAGATAGAGATAGAAAGAGAGAGAGAGAGAGAGAGAGAGAGAGAGAATGCATTACCGCAATGCTAGCCCGAGATTGTGCGGCCTTAATGTGGGCTTGAAGGTGCAGAGGGGGGTGGAAATAGCGGCAGGGGTCCCGATTGCATCGGCCCTTGACAGCGTCCATGCAGACCGTCACAGAGCCGTCCTCGTTCGCCTGCACCGTCTCGAGGGGGTGCGCAAACCGGCACTCCGTCTCGCCGCGTTTGCACGCCCCGCGTTGAAACTCGCGACATACCTACAGCAAGAGCGAACACGCATGGCATGGCACTCTATCTATGAGGGCAAAGGGGCTAGGGTCGACGATAAGGGGGCTTGTTGGTTAGTTGCTTGGTTGGTTGGTTGGTTGCAGGGATGATATGGGTTGAGATCGGGGGTGGGTTTTTAGAGGCTTGGTTGGTTGGGGGTACTTGCGTTAAGATTCCGGGGCAGCTCTGGAAAATATTTGGATTAGGTTATAACGTTAGGCTACATATATAATGGAATCATTTCTAAGGTTATTTTTAGGATGGATGAATGGAAATATTTTGTATTTTGGATAATTAATTTTCTTTTTTTTTTCTATTTCTTTTCTTTTTTAAACAATATCATTGAAACCTTTCCATTTTTTGGGGTGAATGTATTTGGTAAAGGATAGTTTTTTTTCTTCTTTTTTTTTTAATTTTAATACGACAGGAGGATGGACATTTAGCAAAGTTCATTATATAAACACGAACTGTGAGAGGAGGAGGAATAAGGACGAGGTCAGGTACGGACCTACGACTAATATGATGGGAACCTTTGATCATTGACAAACAATACAAGTTACCAGCTGACTGCGATATACGATAGAATGATGTTGGACATGGCTAGAGTATATGAGGTTTCTGACTCACTCACTCTACTCTACTTTACTTTGGCTTTAGCATTCTCGCGAGTACACATTGGGAACGCTTTGTCATAGAGAGACAAAGAGAGAGAGAGAGAGAGAGAGAAAGAGATAGAGAAAGATAGTGAATAGATCTACATCATAGAATGTCACGTTGAAATTCCAAATTTGTGTTCTTCATATTGTTCCGTTTTTGTCGAATAAATGATAAAAAGTTGGGCTCTCGTTTAAACCATAGATCGTTGGCATTGGAATAACATAGAAAGAAAAAAAAACCCGATTATATATCATTTCAAGTGTACTCGCGAGAACGCGTTATTGCCAAAGAATTAAAATGCTACTAGGCGTTGGTACGTTGTCAGCCATAGCTGGGTGGTGCCAAACTGGTGGCAGGGATTTACACTGGCATGTTTGTGCCGTTATTTTATACAAAAATGGATACTATACAGTGAAAGAGAAATAGAAAGAAAGAAGAAAGAAAGATAGGAAAAGATAGATACAGAGAGAGAAGAGAGAGAGAGGCAGACAGATAGACTGACAGACAGACAGATAGAAAGAGATGAAAATAAAAAAAAAAAATGATAAAAATGATGTTGCGCCTTAAAAAAACGCAGTAGTTTGGAAAAATGGCAAGATGGGATACGGAAACTATGGAACGAATATGTGTATATAATATACATATACAATATGTATAGATATACGGAGATAGAAAACTAGAATATAAGATAATAAAGAGACGGGGGTGGAGATAGAGAGAAAGATAAAGAAAAAGAAAATGAAAAGAAGAGCAATATTTAGCTGGGGGGCAACTGGAATCGAGTGATGCAAAGAGCGCCCCGTTTATGGACTGCGGGTAGGCGTAAAAAACAGAGCCAACCTCATATGTCTTATTCTTTCTGGCCGATGATACATCATTCTAATTTATCGACTAGTTTGAACTTGCCAAAATTCCCGAAATAAGATTGGATTGAGAATAAGAAGATAAATCAATGTAAAACAAAACTTGTAAGAAAAATTGATCGCTTTAAAAGGTTTTTTTTTTTTTTAACTTTGACGATGATCATTGTATCTGGAACTTTTATCAGCGCCCAGAAAGGAATGTTACTAATGACTACTCTACATGGAACTAAATACCGTGTTGAGATTTGTCGAAGTGGCACTGACGACATTGCCGTATTCGGTGTACCCTTGCCCCGCCCAATAAGGTCAGGAGGAGTTGGAAATTGGATGACTATTCAGGTAGAATCAGGGATAATACGATAGACGCTTCCTCGAGCATCCTCCGGTATTCTAATCAAATGGATTAATTTGCACGTGTGTTAAAGGAAACACAGCTTGTCATGCATCGAATGGCTACATTTTAGATTATATTTATATATTTTTTTTGTTATCACCTCAATTGTTTTATGGTGTGCTTATTTTTTATTTTATTATTTTTTAAAAAGCATTTTTTTAAACGATCGAACGTGATACTTTATGGATAATTTAGATAAATTCAATACCAAAAGATAGCGTAGATAAAAATGCATACATACTTACATACATACAAACATACATACATACACACATGTAACATGTTTCAAATTTAAATGTCACGTTTGATAGTTCTTTTCTTTTTGTCAATTTGTTTAAGGAAAAACGGTTATATAAAGTATTGAAATAAAAAAGAAAAAAAAAATATAGTATCATGCTTCTTCTACTTATCGTTCGGGAACGTATTCATATATAGAATAAAAGCATGTCAGGCGTTAGAGATAACGGCGGATTAATGCGGTACATATTCGATATCATAGCGTATGGTAGCTCGTCTGCAAGTCGGGAAGCGAAAACACAATATATATATATATATGTATATGTATATGTATATATAAGCACGTCACGAGTGTCAGTACAGCTTGATACGTAGAAGGAACGGGTGCACGCTCCTTCTTCATGTTTCATTCAAGTATACCTAAAGCTTGACTCGAAAGAACGCACTTAGACTCGAGTATGCGTATTAGAGTGCACGGCTTTTGATAAGTTGAATAGGGCGTTAGAAAGAAAACGCATACGTGAATGCAACGATTAACGGGATATACACGTACACAGGCGATGTATCATAGAAGAGAGCGTGTGTGAAATTGTTTACATATATATATATATATATATATATATATATATATATATATATATATATATATATATATATATGCATGTATACATGTGTATGTACAAGTACATAACATACTCGTATATTGCTATACATGTGCCCGTGTATATATACATTTATATATATATATATATGTGTGTGTGCGTGTATTTGTATATATATATGGTAAGAGAAATATAAAAGAGAGACATGGAAAATAGAGAGATGCGTGTAATTAAGACGGATATTACGGCATAGAGAAAATATAAGAGAGGCATGGCGAATGGTCCCTTTGAGCTGATGCTGAGATATATATTTATGTAGTTATATAGATATAAAACAAGTTGACATTGATTACGCGTACTAAGGAATTTGACTACGTGACAAAAGCAATGCACAAAATGTTACGTTTGGCTGATAGAAATAATAAAAATAAAAAATTGAAATGTCCAATTTTCTTCGTCGAAAGCCATTGCATTAGATATTTTTTTTTCTCTAATAAACTAACGTTTACTTCAAACGACGCGATAGATCAAAACGAATATCGAATTAAATTTCTATTCTAGTTATTTTGAAAATTGACTTTTAAATATTAAAATTACTGTCGCGTAAACAATTGTATCACATATAATATATGTATATATAGTACCATTCTCATAACTATATACACATACGCACACACACACACACATACATGTATGTACCATTTAAATACGATCCAAACATATAATATAAAGGTGTACTCGAGTTCGTTTGTTATAACGTGTGTTTGCCAAGTAATCCGATCCATGTTAGAATAAAAGAAATAACGCGTAAAGAAAATTGTAATATTAATTTCGAAGAATTACAAATGAAAGAGAAACGAACGATTGAGGCACCTTTTAATTTGAATTACTATTCGTGAAATTCGTCTTACGTCAATCTACAGTATCCCTAATCGAATATCTATTTAATTGCGTTTAATTACAAACACTGATATACAAGCGAGTACTATCGTTAAACGATGAAAATGATGTAGAAAATCAGTTATTAATATCTACTACTCGATCGTAGCGCACACATAATTACAAAAACACATAAAGAAAGAAAGAGAGAGAGAGAGATAAATATATATATACAAATATAAATTTATGATTAAATATAATATTTATAAACAGACGATAGTCCTAAAATGCAATTATTTTCAATTGAAAGATATATGTGTGCGTTTGTGATGTGTAGCATGTAGCAATGTGTATAACGCACTGTGCGTGTGCACGCGTATATCATCATACATAAATATAATATATAGACACGCTATTACAAGCGCGTGCGCGCGCACAGGTAAAGAGAGCAAATATGTAGTAAATATGCATGTCAAATGTCAAACCGCATGCGATCGTATAAAATGTATATTAAAGCACCTCCTCCTAGCTCTGTAAAAGTAAACACTTAAATATCCTTATGGATAATTATTGGAATTAGTAATAGATAAATTAAAAGTATGTATTTATGTTTTATGTGTGTCACGCGTGTTCTTGCGTGTATGTGTATATGTGTGTATGTACGTTTTTGTGTGTAATTTGATGCGTGTGATCATGTGTAATAAATTTGCAAAAAAAATCATAAAATACTTAGAGGCTTAAGAGCTGAAAAATGAGACACAGGTAATAGTAGTTCGCAAAAAATTATATACGGCCAAGTATACACTGAAATGGTACTGAAGCTGTAAAGAGCATTAGCTTTGTGCAATTACGCCAGTTTTTTTTTTTTTTTTTTATAAACTGGCGAGCGCGCGCATGCGGCCACCATTGCTTTTTTCCCCCAAACAACATACGACTGGAATCATAAAGGTAATATAATATTACACAAAGGCACGAACTTTTTTTAAATGTTATTATTATTATTATTTCCATTATTCGTGGAAAATCCAAGAGAGATATTTTATTTTTCTCACGAAAAAGCAATCAAAGTATTATCGTCGTGATAAAATTTCAAAGGTGATAACACAAAATTCCATTTCGTAACGTAAAAAACTGACGGGGAGAAAAGCATTGACGTCGCAAGCGAGTTCTAGCCAACGAAAGTAAATGTATGCGTGTATCGGCGGCTACAAGGATTGAAAATCAAACGTTAATAATTATTATTAATATTAAATTAACAACAAATACAAGAGATAATAGTGTGATAGTAACGATAAAGATATACTAAAGAACAACAAAAAAGTAAAATTAATTGTAGAAAAAAAAAAAAATAACAAGAA